TTGTGAAATATACATCCAAAAATGCACAGAATTTATATGGATAGTTTAATAAGTAATAATAAAGGAAATGCATAATATGTACACATGGAGGAAGAAACCGCCAGCACTGGAAGCTCCCCGCCAGGCCCTCTGTCATCACTGGTTCACCCTTCTTCCCTAGTCTGCCCTGTGTCGAATTCTGATGATTATTTTCTTTATCATTTAGTACCCAAACTACTCCAAAACAGTATATATTAGCTGTGGCTGATTTTTAACCAGTTCTTTCCTATTCTTTTATTTTGAAAAATCTCAAACCTGAAGGAAAGTAACAAAGAAGTAAAATGAACCTTTTCATGCTCTTCATCACAATTCCAGTTGCTAGCATTTTGTCATGTTTTCTTTATAGCCCTATAGATGGGTATTTTATATGCTGAACTGTTTAAAGCATTGGTTTTAAAATTTATATGAACAGATTTATACTATGTATATTATTTTGTCTGTTTTTTCATTTTTATAAAGTTTGGGAGATTGATCCATTTTGTTATAAAAGCTGTATTTATTTTTTTTTAATTTATCTGTTTTGTCCATGTCCTAAAACTTTGTGAGAGACTAAATTTAAAGGTGGCAGACTAGTCTGACAGAAAAAATTTCAAGACAGCCCAACATTTAGGCTGTTACATGGATAGTGGTGGGTACTTTTACCCAGATCTATAATAAGAATGAGTACAAAACACAGAGCCAAAAGAAGTAAAAATTTTTCAGCTTGGCAAAAACACACCCCCCATGAATAGAAAAAAACATATAAAGTTGAGGCCAAAGGAGAAAATGGTTGCTTTTAAAAAGTCAGATACTTTACATCTGGACAATAAAAAGATATCTTAAGGGCATCTCAAAAATTGGTCAGACCAATTACTCATCACAGGTTTAAGGGTGTAAAACTCCATTAAGACTGCTTAAAAGAAAGAAAAAGAGCCTGAGGGCACCTTGCTCACTCAAAGACACTAAAAAAATGTTTCCCCAAATTCAGCCATCCAGGCACTGGAGGTCACTGCATACTTAGTCCAAGGGAGCCTGACTACCGCTTGAGCTGATGACAGACACTTGTATGACCCATGTGGTACCAGTTCTGGCACCATGATTACCCAGATTTCAGAAAAGGTACTGGGAGGCCAGACAATGTGCCCCTAAAAGGGCAATACGTAAAGCTAAAGGTACTGCAGAGACAACCCCCCGCCCCCGCAAAGTTGGAGATGCCAAAAATGTAAAACATCTGCTAAAAACAACTCTGGACAGTAAAGAGAGCCAGCCTGAGAAGGAGGCCACGTGGGCTGCAACTGACAAGGCCATGGGCACAAATCTCACCACAACTTGCCCTGGGCACAAGACATAAAGCTATAGGATTTAATGTTTGCCCTGCAGGATTTCAATCTTGCTTTGGTCTGATTCGTTTCCATGTCACCATTTCTCCCTTTTAAAATGTTTTACCTTATGCTATTATATATTAAAAGCACTTAACTTTCTTTTTTTTAGTTTTACAGGGGCTCATAGCTAAGCGTTAACCTTGAATCTCAAAAATAAACTTTGGACTTTTCAACAATGCTAAAACTATTAGAACTTTGGTCACTTTTAGAGATGGATTAAATAAATTTTACACTGTAGAATAAACATGAGCCTTTTAGGGGCCTGGAGTGCAATGTTGTGGTTTAGACCTAAAATGTCCCCCAAAAAGACTTGTGTGTTCCAAAGTGGGACTCCTAAAGGGCGACTGAATTGTGAGGCCGTGAAAGCCTCATTGGTGGGTCGATTCATCAGTATGTTCCTGAGCTGCATGTACTGTTTGGAGGTATGGCTGGCAAAAAGAGGAGGGTTGTTGAGGGAATGACCTGGAAGGATATGTTAACCTCCTTTCTCTCACTGCTTCCTGGCTGCCGTTGGCTAAAAAGCTTTCATCCACTATGCCACTTGTGTCTTGGAGCTAGCCAACCATGGACACCATGAGTCAAAATAAACTTCTCTTTTACATTGTAGGTATCAAAGATTTTGTTACAGCAACAAAAAATGTATCTGTACAGTTATTTCTGCCTAGATGCCCCGTCCCCACACCCACCTGGCCAGCCCTGATGGTTCCTAACAGTGACCTAGCAACTAATAAAAAGACAGTACACCCAGAGGATATTGTGAAGGAGGAAGGAGGGTGCAAAGAGAAGAAGGGATACTCTAATGCCTTCTCACCTGTGAACCTGAGGCTGGGAGACAGGAGCACCCCTGCTGTTAGAACAACATCCCTCCACCCCTAGCAGTGTGCATGGAGCCCTATATAGGTAGTGGGAACCTGTAACGCTGAAGGTCTTCTCTGGTCAAGACCCTGAGTCTCAGACTTGTGTAAAAGCACACTCTTTGGAGAAAGGAGCTGCTGTAAACCTCACTTGCAAGATGAAATAACACCCTTTACTCTGACTGTTACACCCCGTTAGAAGTGGACAACACTTACTGTCCAGATGTGTTTGGAGCTCAGGAATCACATATACAGAGAACCATAGAAGCACCTAGACTGGAAAGCTTGTAAAGATAACAGATTCTCAGTCCCCACTCACAGAACTGGACTCTGCGGGGAGTCCATGCCTTTAAAAGCTAGGAATACAGAACCACTGTACATCACTCAACATTTAGCAGTTATACATACAGCATCTCCTGAACAAAAAAGCCAGTAGGTCAACACAAACTAAAAGTGGAATAAAAAACTTCAGGTGATTAAAAAAAAAAAATGAAACGATTTTTTCAACCAAAGAAGTTCTCACCCATTTCTTCCTTACATGATCCCCATACTGTGCAAAGCAAAAATGTGAACAGACCACTCCTGGACCTAAGCAATGAGCCCCTCTGGGGTGATGGGCCTGGCATGGCTCATGTAGAGCACCTTGACTGCCAGATTCTGTCCCCTTCATCCTACCAATCAGCCCTAGGGAGACGAATGTGAGTTGAAGCTGTGACACTATGTCCTTTTCCTGGCACATTCCCTGTGAGAATTTCTAACATGTCTCACTACAAAGAAAAAACCTATTTCTAACCCATCCTTATTACCTTATGTCACTGTGCACATTGGGCCCATGTATGGGAAGGCATGAGGATTAACAAGTGCAAACATGTGCTTACAAAATTAAAAACTGAAAACAATATAAATATTCACATCTTTTTCTCTCTCAAGTAAGCAAAAAGAAAGAAAACTAGTGAGACTACAAATAGTTTTGATGGAGAAATAATTAATTCAGTTTTGGATGGATCCTGCCAACATCTCCAATTCAAAATGGTCAACAGCAAACTTTTTCTACTCTTTGCAGGTATCAATGCTCAGTCACTCAAGCTAGAAAGACTGGAGCCATTGCAAATCTTTCTTGTCCCGTGTCTCACATCTGGTCATTGACTTCGGTCTAACTTATCCTCTGCTGAAGTCTCATCTGTCCGTAACCTCCTTTTCCACCCTCACCCCTTTGTCTGACATAACAGTTTCTAACTGGTTTGTCTCCCTCTAGCCTCTCATCTGTTCAGTCTTTCTTCTCAACACTGCTAAAGTCAAATCTCACCATCTTCGTGTTCCTGCTAAACAAGGCTTCTTAAATAATATTAGTAATATGAATCATTTTGGTGTTTTGTATCTATCAGGAGCTGCACTAAAAGGTTCTAATTATCTAATTTAATCCTCACTACAACTCCAAGTTATAGTTTATTATTAGCAGTACTTTACATACGAGAAAAGAAAAAGTTTGCCCACATCGCTGAACTAGGATTCACACTCAGGTTTATGTTTCCAAAGACTACGTTCTTACTCACATGCTAAGAAACCCCTGAAGACAATGACAATGTTGGTACCAGCTGGCCTAGAACCAACCACCCCTGAAGACTTCTCCTCTGGAAATACTATACACTGACCACACTGCTAAGTCTCAACACAATCTAGTTTTCCCTATCTCCTCATTGCTCTTTGGTAGAAAGAAGTTACCAGAATCATACCCATCCACAAAGGCCCATTCTAATGACCTCTTCCCATAGTACTGTTCTTAATCTCTGTCCAAAGTAGCTGTCTCTAATAGTGTTACATTGATCCATTTGTCATGACACTTATTTAATGTTGCTTTTTCATTTATTGTGTAAATATCTGCTGCACATCTAATATGGGTCAGCCACTGGCCTCAGGTAAGCTGCATCTAATACAGTATCTAGTAAATAACAAATCTTCATGTTTTGATGATGAAACTAAAAACTATATGAAATTCTGAAGATATTTGAAATATTTTCTGCTACCTAGTATGGACCAGAAGCAATTGAAATGTGAATTATTTGGCTTTCACTGTATTCCTCAGCAAACTCAGTTTGTCTACTTTCAACTAAACTGTACAGAATCCTAAACTGTATTTCAGGTACCAATAATTCTGTGCATTTTTAAAGGAGGGGGAGGATACCCATTATCTCTTATATGGAAAGAAGCTGTGAATTCCTGTTTGGGAAGATATCAGAACCCTTGGGAAGAAACTACTGGATGAACACATAGCAAATAAAGTGTTTGGGGTTTATGGATTCACTGAAGGACTTCTATAATATTTGTTTCTATTTTCTACCTTTAATCTCCTATGATACAGAAGAGTTAGTTAAAACTATAAGAATAAGGGAACCATGTAGAACAAAAGGTTAATTTTCAGCTGTAAAGGGAACTGTCACATATTGACAAAAAGACCAAGTTCCAAAGTAATCTACTGTCATAATCATGACTATGCACTTTCTGCCTCACAACTCAGCCTAAGAGTAATTCACACAGAGGCAGGTAGAAGGCTGACCTCATGCTTGCTGCACTTGTACAGTTTCAGTCTCCTGAAATTTTTCTGGACAGTTTAGATAACTGGGAAGAAGCTGTACATGAATTACAATTTTTTTTCCACATGCCAACTCTGTCTCAAGAATAATGAGGAAGGTACTAGTCCTTCAGCCTTGAGAAGAGCCAATCCACATTCAAGACAATCTCACTTTACCTGTTTGGGACACGAAGCTTCACCATCCCATTCTTTCTCCTCTGCAAACCGGAACTGTGAGAAGTAGTCCCCTAGGAGTACGGAGAAAAAAACAACAACATACAATTTTATGCAAAAAACAAGAAAAATCTCGGTGTCTCTGACCTTCCCTCTTAGAGCAAAAGTGCCATTTCTGCAGAACTAACTTTTCCAAATTCAGTGATACCACCCTGCAAGGGCCTTGCCCCCATGCTTCTACACACATCTGTGCATGGTGTGCATACGAAAATACCACTGGCAACTGCACTCACTGTTCCACTGGCTGCTCAGGAAGCCACTATTCTACACACTTCTCAAGGGACAAGTCAACAGTTCAGGCCTGCAGACATGGTACCTACCCACGTCTGGCATATTTCTGTCTCCTCTACTCAGTGTTTGCAAGGCAACTTATAATTCAGGGAGTGGGCAGGCAGAAAAAGAAAGACAGAAAGCAATTCTAGACTGATTCACAATATAACAGACAAACTATCAGAGGAGAAGTCACCAACCTCCACTCTCATTCCAAAAATCACCTGGCTAAATGTCAAATGCAAAATAAAGTACAAAGAATGCACATTAGATCTTAATGTAAATCATGGTGCACTACTCTGAAATCTGACAATAAGGGAATATGAACATGCATGGCCAACATGCATAAGCATCAACGACAACCCTATGCTGCAAGCTCTGTCACAGGCTTACTTTGTAAATGTGTACATATCTGATCACTTGCATTATAAAGTTTTTGGCTTTTCAGAGCCCCCAAAATTTAGTCCCACTTCCTTAACCCCCATTTACTTTCTATTTTTTCAGGCTTTCTATTACAAAGTCAGACTTCACATTCTGCACACGTCATTCACCATCCCACTCTTCTTTTCTTTTCATATTCCTTCCCTTGTCACCCAGACCTGGTGTCTCTACTCATGGATATTTCAAGACTCCAATGCAGGCCCACTTATTTCCTCTATGATACCTCCCAAAGGATCTAACCACAGAATTTATTCTTTTCTTCTAAATTAGAGTGCCAAAAAGAAGGAGGGGGAACTCAAAAGTAAAGAGATGAACAAAGGTAAAACTAGAACTGACTACCTACTCCACAATACCCAAAGCACACAGATCACACCATTAACATATGGCAACATCAAAGGGAACGTAAGAGGACCATGGAGAAAGAGTAAAATCACTGTGCTCAGCCGCTGATAAATCAGTTTCATCCCTCAAAATCCACAATATAAAGGCTCTGATTAATGTAATAGGTCCCGTATATGTATGTAAATGTGTGTGTGCATGGATGCATTGTGATTATATGTGCATTTACTGTATAAATAACCTGTGCAACACTAACTTTCAAAAGGACTATAACAAGGCCACAAAAACCCCCAATTTTAAAATTTAATAGTCATACAAACCTGGCAATAGTACATAAACAGATATTAATAAAAAAATTTAGGGCTGGGGATTTAGCTCAGTGGCACTGTGCCTGCCTCACAAGCCCAAGGTCCTGAGTTCAATCCCCGGTACCGCAAAAAAAAAAAAAAAAAAATTAGAAATTTGAAAAATTTCTCCCACATGAGTATTTCAGAAGAAAACAAACTGTAGAATTAGAATACAGAAAGGAGTAATAAATTAATAAAAATGTACCCATGAGATATGAGTAAAGCCTTCTCAGAAAAAACGTTGAAGTCTTATGCTTTCATTACTAAGTAAAGAATGAATTTTTAAAAAGCAGTCAATTGTTTTACAAAGTTAATGGTGAAAAAGCAAAACAGAAAAGCTGGCAAAAAGAATGAACAATTGTTTTTAAGAAATAAACATCAATCTTACCTTTTTTTTTTTGCGGGGGGGGGCAGTATGGGGATCAAACTCGGGACCTTGTGCTTGCAAGGCAGGCGGCAGAACCACTGAGCTAAATCCCCAGCCCCTTACCTATTTTTAAATAAATAAAATCCAGAAGAATAAATTAATACTGCTGTTGTTTAACTTTCTTTGAAAGGGCAACCAGTGCAATTAAAGAGGAGAATGAATTAAGTGGTATTAACACTGGAAAAAGGGAGACAAAAACATGATAATTTCAAAGAAACATACTCAAGTGCCTGGTAAACTCAAAGGAATCAGTGAAAAAGGATTCAGAAAGTTGGCACTGTTCCAATATTTATGTATTTTTTTTAAAAATAGCTCTCAAGCCAGTCCCAGCACCAGGAAGGAGGCTCCCCTGCTGCCATCCCAGGATCCTAGGGCAGAGAAGCTCAGCCAGTCCCAGCACCCAGAAGGAAGCTCCCCCACTGCCACTGCAAGCTCCTAGGGCAGAGAAGGTGAGCTGTGTGGCCCCAGAAGCACCCCCCCCACCGCACCGTGGAAATGAGAAAACACATAAACAAGCCTCAAAAACAGACTTCCAAATCACCTACAGCAACCCCAAAGGGAAACACGATGGAACAATCTGATACTCAACCACCTGGACTCTGAACTGGCAACAAAAGAGGATCTGGGAAAAATGAAATCAGAAATAATTACTCAGATAACAGCAAAGATTTTGCTCATG